TGAGGATTTTATTCAATTTTTAACTATTGAGACCAATAAAAAGTATTATTAAGTTGTATAATTGTTCGTTTTTAAAAAGGACTGCAAAATTTATTTCTGATTTATCCAATCCTTATTGTTTTTTTCAAATACCAGATATTCTTTTTTTCAAATACCAGATATTCTTTTTTTCAAATACCAGATATTCTTTTATATTTTACTTGAAATTTATAATGGTTGGGTTTTCAAAATCATGCAGCTCATATTCTTTTCTCTAAAATAATAAATCTTTAATATGGTTATACTGCATTTTAAAGTTTCCTGTATGATTTTTATATTATCAGTAATACATATGTTAATCTTAACAGATGTATTTATTTATGAATACTAGTTTGGTTTTATTACTGACATAAATTACTTGCAGTTGGATGGGTATTCAAAAGATGAAATGAATGCTATTCTGAGGAAATTCGATATGAAATCTCCAAACACAGGAAATGATTTGTCTGATGCTCTAGAATTCAATCTCATGTTCAGTACATCTATAGGTCCTACAGGAAATTTGAAAGGGTATGGATAATTATTAGAAAATCATTTATTTGCTCTGAGTATTATAAGTTGTATAATAATATGCTGTAGAAATTCCAATTACAACATTGATCCAATAATAAATTCCAAATTCTTCAAAATTGGTACAATTTCCAATCTAATACATTGTTCTCTAGACTGAAGAAATCAACTAATGTAAATAATTACAAAATTTAAAAAAAATATCTAGGTTTCCTGCAAAATTTTCCTAACAGGAAAAAGCTATACTAAAAAGTAAAATAGATATTGAAATATTAAAAGTAAAAGATGTAAAATGCAACAAAATATTTATATAACAAAATCCAAAATAAAGTCACATGTACTCAAAGAATTTAAACATTTAATATAATTATTACAAATTTTATCTTAATTGAACAAGGAATTAAGCTTAATGCACAGTTGCATGGAATATGAAATTTGTAAGTGGCAAATTCTGCAGAAAATTATCTGGTAAATTAATTTTGGAAAGTTTTTTTTTTCTGACAACATAAATAGCTATAGGCATTTAAAAGAATGGGATGAATCAAATCCGTTATTTAAAATTTTTTGGAAGAAAAGAAGATATAGCATCAATTTGACAGTTTTAAATTAAGAAAAAATTGTGTAAAAATCAAAAACCTTGTAAAATTAACATTTTGATCATCTATTTTTAATTTTCTTGTTGGCTTTATAATGGATATTCTTCAATGTATAGTTTTTCTCTAAAGATCTACTAATGTATTCTAACAAACAATTAAAGGTATGGGAACTATGAAATTTTTTGGATTTATAGATAATGGTACCAAGATGCCTAAGCATCACTTGTTTAAGGGAGGAAACATTTTTTACATTGCTAGCAAGTACACCTCTAAAAGTTCCAACATGGTTGAGTCTTTCCAATTCTACAGAGTAAAATAAAGTTACTGTAAAATCAGACACTTCGTTACCTGTGTAAATAATTGACTTCCAAATATTTCACTTCCAATATTTGACCCTACTGTTCTACAGTATCTAAATTGCTGTAGTTGCAAATATTTTCCAGATATTGAATAAATAGCTTTTAGATCTTTAAGTAATTTGCAAATTTTATGATAAAAAGAATTCAGAACAATGAATTATGTAGCTAACAAAATGCAAAAATAACTGATGACCCAAATTCAATCACCAAACATTAAGATTAAATCTTATTTTAATCAAAAGTAAATTTTTAAAAGCAATAAATAAAATTAAAGAGAATTGAAAGTTACTTATGGTATATCAAAATCCACTGAATCAAAGATACATGTAGGTAACATTTATATCACTTTCATTTTTGAAGGTAGACTACATATTATCAACAGTTGTTTTTCAATTGACCTTAACTCCTTAACTGCCAATTAAGAGTGACATGATTTGCTACTCATCGTTTTTCACATAGGGGTAAGTGTGCAGTGTATTTAAAGGAAATGGATAGGCATAAATAAGCAAATTTTTCTCTGAAATAAGTAAATTCTTTGTTAACACTGTCAGGGTCATTTTATGGCTTTTCAAAGCCTTTGGAAAGTTTTACTGATAGCAGATAAAAGAAAAGGATTGTATTCCAGAAAGAGGTGTTTAAACGTCTCGAGCATTTAATACATAGGTTGAGTGAGACACATTTATATGCTGATGGCTGTTAAGGGGTTAAAAGCAAATTTAATGGAGAAAAATCATTTTCTTTTTTTAAAAATAAATTCCCATTACTTGAAATAATCTCAATATTTTTAAGAATCCTTATTTGTAATTAATTGTAAAGTTTTTTCTGATTCTTTTTAAAATCTTTTATTATCAATGAATATTTTTATCTTTACCAATTTTTTGTAAAGAACAATTGAAGTATTAGGACTATAAACATTTTAGGATATAATCATATCAAGATGCACTTATCTAACAGCTTCTCTATGTGAGGGACGAAAAAATTGTTCAATTGCTCTAAATTAATATTTGTTTATTAATAAAATAATTCTAAACTTTTAAATTTAGAATGGGAAAAATCTGAAAATAAAACTGATGTTTCCCCTTCCCCCTCAAAATTAGAATGTGATTCTTAAAATAAAGCTTTTTATCAGTATGAAATTGTAATATTTTAAAGAAACTGGAGAGATTTAAGAAATTCTATTTTGTTGTACTTAAGAACAGTGATATTTAGGATAGCTATTACTGTAAATGCAAACTATAAATTAATATTTCATGTTCACTTTCTAACCAGCATAATAATTGACGTAACAAAAACTTTAGATGGTCTTTCTTTTTGTTCTCTGATTATTGAGTTAGAAAACATTTATATCAAACATTGTTTTATCTGTTATTTAAGAATGATATAAGTATTTTAAAAGGTATCTAAATTATATATATTAATGAATACAAGATTATTAGATTTTGACTATGTCCTGTATTGATTTGGCTACTATTTGATTCATAATAAAATGATCAAGACAAAAAGTGTTGTAATTGTATGTCAGTTTTAGAAAGTCTTACAAGGAATGGTTTTTTTGTTAGTTCTCTTGTAACTTACTTTTTAGTTTGGTAAAACAAATTTCAATTGTTTAATGCTCAAATCATGAAAATAATAAACATTAAATAATAAATTTAATAAATAATTTGAAAGAATTTATTTTAATTCTGATAATTTAATTATTAACATGTTGAAAAATTCTTTGAAAAATAATCAAATAGTTTTAATTAAATTTTTAATTTTCAGTTTTATGAAATAATAATCATATATTTTATCTTTTAGAATATCTATCTTTATGTTGTTTTAATTTTTTTTGGACTTCTGTTAAAATAAAAATCAGGATGCATATCACTCTATTCATATCAGGTTATATATACATCAGATATGTGATCATTTAATTTATGATTTAAAAGTATTTTTAATGTTTGTTTCATAGATTTTACTTCAATCCATGTAAGTTTCTATAAAAATTGTATTACAAAATAGAAACATAATTTAAAATAGTGAATGCTTTTTCAGTGATAAAAGTGCAGAAGTCAGAAATAAATGTGTATGGTATAATATAAAGTATAAATATGATTTAGAAGCTCTTTTATTGCTTAAAGAATATGTAATAGGTAGTTTCTGAAATTTTACATGTTTCAGAAAAACGAAAATATTGTTTTAATATCTACTCTTGCTAACGAGTTTTAACATTTTCATATATTTTAATTCTTATACTTCATTGCAGTTTTCTTCGTCCAGAAACAGCTCAGGGTATTTTTGTAAATTTCAAACGTTTGTTGCAATTCAATCAAGGCCGTCTTCCATTTGCTGCTGCACAAATTGGAAATTCTTTTAGAAATGAAATCTCTCCTCGAACTGGGTTGATCAGAGTAAGGTATGCCATAAAAATGTTTTATATAATCATTAAATAATCAATTCAAACTTTCCTTTTCTTTTTGGATTCATAAAAGCCGTTCTTTTGTGAGAAATTTTTAAGTTTTTCCAAGTCTTTTCCATGTAAAATGTATTTCGTAGTTGAAAACAACATTTTTACAAACAAGCATTCTTCCAATAATTAATTATAGTAATAATTACAAGAAATAGGATGTATTTTTTAGAATTAATTTCTTAATTGAAATTGTGTGGGAGTAAATGCAAATAACAAAATTTTGTAATCAAAATTATACTTGTAACTGATGCAAAAGGAAGGAATTTTACTAAGAAAAACATTTCTTTTAAAGTAAAAGTTCTTTTGTTAAAGAATACTTTTTTTCGTTAAATTTGCTGTTAATCAATTACTAATTAATTTGGAAATTGATTCATTTATTTTGAAAAAAAATGATCTTAAAGTTATTTTATGAAATCATTGCATTTTTAAAGATGAAAAACTAATGAAGTCTTTTTAAAACTGATAAAAAAAGTAATTAAAAATATTTAACCTGTAAAATATTTTCCCCTGAAAAACCTATAAATTTCCTACTTAATTTTTTTTTTGAAAAAAGAAAATATGGATATTTATTTTTATCTTTATTTTTATTGAAAAAAAAAAAATTAAAACTCCGAAAAAATTAAGTAATTAACCTGCTAGAATGAAGATTTTAAAATATTTTTTTTTTAATTTCTTCATATTATGGCATTGAAAATTTCATTATAATATTTATGAAAGGTAGCTATATCTACCTTGCCTATAAAAGCTAGCTATCTTTTTTTTTATATAAATTTTAAAAAAGTAGATTTAGTCGCATAGCCATTCATGTTTAATATACTAATGACACCAATATTGTAAAATAAAACTAAACTCAGTGGCAGACAGCCTATGAGGGTCAAGGCCTTCTGTGCCATCTCAGTATTCGTGACTTTGGCCACTGAGGTGCATGAGTAGATGTTTTGATCAGATGGTCTGTCTGACTCAAAATCTCCAGTGTTTAATTCCCAAGCAAACTTGGTACTAATTTATCAACCCACTGAAGGGATGAAAGGCCAAGTCGACCTTGCCCAGCCCGGGATTTGAGTTTCGGACTTGTGGAATAGAAGTGCAATACTCTACCACTGAGCTACCGGGCTTCAGTGTTGTAAAATCTAATATATATTATAAATGCGAAAGTTTGTGAAAATCTTTGTTAGTCTTTCACGCAAAAACTAAATGGATTTTAATGAAACTTTACAGTAATATTGCTTATACATCAGAATAACACATAGGCTATAATTTATAGCATAAACTATAATTTATAAATATATTGTATGAAGTGTCCAAAATATAACGATATTTGTCAAGAAAGTAGGAAAAAATTCTGTCATCTGCTAGCAATTCTGGCATGCGCTGCAAAAAAACCCCCACGTCTGCATATATCTATCTTTTGTTTGTGAAAAACCATTTTTGTTTTGGCTACGCAAGGTGCTCACTTTTAATTAATTCCTCTGATATAATGCCTATTTTTTATTTATTTCAGAATCAAACTAAGTTTTGAAGGGAGAGGTTGTTATAAATCTCTCTTTATTTTAATGTTTTTTTAAACATTTTATTATGCATATTTGGTAGTAAGAAATTGATCTTTTTTCCAAATAAATGCTTTTATCAGTTCTGATACTTAAAGTAAATAAACTTTCTCTTTCACACTGCATCATTTGGATAAATTTTCAAAATTTGTTTGTTGTTAGTAGTTAATTATAACACTATAATTTTAATTGAATAGGCAGATATTGCATTTTTAAGTATAAAAATAATTAAAACTACTGTACTGTATCTTTTGGAACGAGTGAATATTAACGTCGCACTGTTCAGCTACATGAGGGCTTTTGGCAATGGACCACGTAATTTTGAACCATGGTCAAGTGACGTGGACGACACCTGATCTGGCACCCTCTTCTCCTAACTACCACACCACACCAACTTAGAGGGAATATTCTACCAATACTTAGTAGGAATATTCTTTGAAATCCACTCTTCCAAGATATATAGCAGCACGGGTTCCATGATGAGTATTTTAGCGGAAAAAATAGTTTGTCAAAATTTAAGTGTCTTATTTTTTTGTATGTTAATGAAAGACCTTAGAAAATTATTTGACTACTTATTTTAAGTGAACGGTATATATAATTAATTTTACGGTGGAATATCTTTAATTTATTTATTAGCTCTAACGGATTAAATTTTCCAAAGTGGAGTATTTTGTTTGTTTATCCCTTAATTTTAAATGTAGCGATCCAAAAAAAATATTGTATGAAAAAAACTGCAGTAAATCATAATGCAGTTGGATAAAGTATTAACATGCATCGCTCCCCTACACGGTGGGTCTTACAAAGCTCTAATAAAGCTCGAGTTATGAAAGTAGCTAGGCATTTGCCAACTTTACTCTATCGTTAACATTTCGCTGTGTTTTTCATTGAAACGCCATTATAGCCATTATAATTTAAGAAACGGCGTTGCTTGCGAATATTACAATTTTAACATAAAATAAATAGAACAGAAAGTAATATTAATGTATTATACTTTGAGATAAAAATTATTTACACTATTTTAAGCATTCATTACACAAAACTTTTAACAATGTGTTTCTTTTGCTGAGCAGAGATCAGCTTAGGATGGTATTTTCAAAAATCGACCCTCAAGAGTGTTAGGGGAGTTATAAATAAAAAAAATATCCTTTTTATCAGCTATTAGATCTACATACTTAAAATTTAACAAAGGTGTTTTATTTCTATCTTTTTTTTTTGTTTTGCTGAGCTACGCAAAAAAAGCTTTCTTTGTTTAATTTGCAATTCACGTAAAATTAACTCATAAACTTCTTTATCCTTCAATCTGTGTTGTTTAATTTTTCAGTTCAGCCGTGCGAAGAACGGGTATACCAGCTAGTAATTAAATAAAATGTCAGCAAATTATAACAGAAGTATCCGAGGGACTAACTTTTACATGTGCTTTCACAATATTTGCTTAGATTTATTTTAATCTTTCTTTCTCTCTTTCTTTTTTGTAAGCTCTGTGATTTTTTTTATTTTCTAAATTAAATTCGGATTATGATATAAAGCTTATCTGCCAAATAACTTTATTTTAAACTTCATTGAAATTTTTTAGAGAATTTACTATGGCTGAAATTGAGCATTTCGTAGATCCACGCTCTAAAGAGCATCCCAAATTCAAGAAAGTGCAGGATGTAAAACTCATACTTTATTCTGCTTGCAATCAAATGAATGGGGAATCTGCATTTGTAACTACTATTGGTGATGCTGTTCAAAAGGTTAGTTGAATTTCACTTTTACATATAGTTAGATAAATCTGGTTAAAGATTTCTTTTTTTTTTTCCTATTGAGTTTAATTTTGAATGAAAAATATCTATTTTTTTACTTGTCTTGGATTTTAAAATTAATTTATTTTCTACAAAAAGTTAGTTGCATTTATTTATTTTTTAATAATAGTTACTCATTATGCATTGGTAAAATTGGTGCTGTACTAAAAAATGAGATACCAGCCCCTAATGAAATGTACTAGGTTTGCAGTGGTAAAATACTAATCTGCAGCTCTATTAGAAATATAAAAAAAAATAATAATCAAATGGAAGGTTCATTGTACACCCTGGATTTTGTGTTTTCAAAGTTAAATGCAACAACTAGAAAACCTTTCACTTCAAATCTTTTCTTCCCCTTTTTCCATTATCTATCAATAGATTCTATCATAATTTTCCAAAGTTTGGAAAACACAAATGTTCAGATTGCTTCAATTTTAGATTAGGGTTTAATTGCTTATATATATGTTCTGACTATAATTATAAAAAATATATTGAATATAATTCAATCTGTATTGAATTTGCTTATATATATTGTAATAACTTCAAACAGCTCTTGAATACTATTTATTTTACAGTATGAAAATTCATCAAAATTAGTTTCATTACAATTTAATTGTAAGATGAGTCCACAGAAAAAATTCCTCTTTTGCTGCACTGACTTATTTCTCTCGCATGAAATAAGGTATTAAAGTGTTTCTTTAGAGGAAAGTCTCCTATGCATAGGATATGTCACAGGGGTTCAACACTACTCAGTTCACTCTTGGTAATTCCACTCCAAGCTTGGGTGAGCTCGCCAGTTTGATATCCGCCATGCCGTGGCTCCTTCACAAACTCCACGGTTTGGAATCCGCCTTAATTCGTGGACTTGGGTATAGTTGTATCGCAAGTCTATCGCTAAGAGAGAGGCCTCCACCGGTTCTCTCATGTAAAAAGTCTATGGCTAAAAGAGAGGCCTCCACTGGTTCTCTCAAGTAAAATTTGATCTTAGTACTCCCTTGTTCTTTTAAATCTCTTGTTTCTCACGATCCCTCACTGCCTAATCCCTCTTTGATCTCTTGTCCGTTGGCTGCCTATGGTGGGAGTCTGTCTCGGCTTATATTGTAAGTTCTCAGATGTGCTGTCATCAACGAATCCTGAGAAAATGATCAACAATATAGCGGTGTTTCTTCTAACTTTCGGAATGGTATGGGGAAAGAGGGTCAGAATTTCTGACCCTCTTTTCCCCAGCAACTAGGGAAACAAATGGAATTTTCCCACGTCTGTCGATATCCCCAGGGGAAAGAGACCAGCTTCATCATACTATGTATAAACATAAATGAATTATGTGTCCATCATATTACCAATAATCATATGCAAGCATTTGTCTATTATTAATTTCTTTGTTTTTTCATTAATACTGATATTTTATAACATTTCCTTAAAGTGTTTTATATTCAATGAATAATCATAATAGTTTTAATTATGTATGTGCAAAGGGTAAATTGTTTAAATCACTAAAATTTTATTCAACCATTTTTTAATTGTTTATTTTTAATATTTTATTAACTCTTTCGGGATGAAGGATGCAAGCGCGTATGTACCGCCAGGGCCAGAGGTTTCTGGCGTGAGTGTCACTCACAGGCCGGAGGGTTTTGTGTAGTTAAACCTAAATCCATAAAAATACTGAAATATAAACACATGCAATATTTTTTTTTTGTACGTTATACGAGCGACATTTGTTTTATATATTTCGTATTAATGTACTTTATTAACTTAAGCCAGTTTCTGTTTAAGTACAAGTTTTTAAACATTTTATTGACAGCATTTGTAAAAGTCAACCTTGTAAAAAAGTAAGAAAAAAAAGAAGACAAATTTGATTGGTTGATTGTTGTTCCTTGTGTCATAAAGTCCACCACCAAAATACCACGCCGATCCCAGAACACTGTTGCCACAATCTTGCACTTTGGCAGTGTTTGTTTGGCTTTGACCTTGATGGGAGAGGATGTGTGTCGCCATTCCATCCAATGTTGCTTTGGTTCCGGGGTGATATGGAATACCCATGTTTCATCTCCAGTAACAATTCAACTCAACATGTCATCCCCTTCTTCCTTGTAATGAATCAAAAATTCCAATAATCTGGCAAACCTCTTCTCTTTGTGTTATGCTGTGAGGAGTTTGGGTACCCACCAAGAACACAATTTCTTAAAATTGAGACCTTCAGTTATAGTTTTGTTACGCCACCGACCGAGAAATGGGAAACTCCAATGAAAGAGTGGTTATCATAAATATCCTGAATTTTCGTTTCGACTACTTGCATCAAATTGTCAGTGATTACTGAGGGCTGGCCTGAGCGTTATTCATCATGGATGTTTGTACGCTCATCTTCAAACTTTCTGACCCATTTTCGAACTTTACTATCACTCATCGCTTCAGTGACATAAACTTTAGTTATCTGGCAATGAATGTCTGCAGCCGACATGTTTTTTGCAGTCGAAAAATGGATAACAGACCTATCTCACACTTGGCATGCGATTCAATCACTTTAAACATTTTAAAGATACAGGGAAGCTTACATGACTGCTGTAGAGCTGGAAATATCACAAGTGAGTTCGCAAAAGATACTGGTCAGTGATGCAGAGACTTGTTGCGATGTACGCAGAAACTAGGGAACTATGTGCACCAATGGACCTTTCTTAAAAAATAGCCCTCGTATTTATACATCAGTAATTTCCACATGTGATGATTATATAACATATATATACTAGCTGGTATACCCGTTCTTCACACAGATAAATTGAAAAATTA